CCCCAAAACCCCAAAACCCCAAAACCCCAAAACCCCTTATTATATATAATTCATTGATATTAAAATGGAGATGCAAGCCCAGAACGAAATTAGAGAACACATTTACTCTTTCAGGTTCATGAATCCTGATAATGAGAATAATTGATACATCAATTCGGTCCTCCAGCCGTTCCTCAGAATTTTGTTTGAGGAGAATAAAAGGTATGTTGTCCATGCTGAAAAATTGGAGAGACTCTTAGGGCCAGGCCTAAGGTGATATTTATATCTCCTAGACCACTTTAGACTCATCTGCATAAGTTGCTATTCTTTAGACAAATTTTTATTGATTTTGTGCTCATGCATAATTTAACCATTCCTGATGACTTCTATAGTGAAGTGCTGGAAAATTTGAATGAGACAAAGAAAGAGCCGAATAGAGCTGTCAAATGCCTCAAAGAGATCATTAAGAAATCCCTCAAAGCTACAAATGGTGATACAAAGATTAAAATAAAGAACTTTAGGAAGGAACTCTGTAAGAATATTCACCGTAAAATGGAGGATATTGTCTTTAGATTTTTAGTTAATACTACCAAGCTAAGCTCTAAACCTTATCTAATTCTATTTTCTTATAGCAAGAGAGTATGACAAATCATTCGCCTACCAAGCGATGGGAGATCCATTGATGTTCTTGCACTATCTCTTTACCATATCACCTTCATTAATAAAGGTAGATCAAAAGGACTTTGACAGGATATGTGATGACGCTATTTTATGAGATACAAATTTCTTCAAAAAGAGCCTGAACGTACGGCAATATGTGATCGACCGACTTTTCAAGATCGAGTTTATTAAATACTCGCAGGAAAATCACGATGAAAGCTGGAGGAGTCATTCCAAGAAGTGGTTTACCATTCCTATGGGTACCCTCATCCCTTGCATGGAGAAAATATATGCTGAAGGAATTGAGAGTTTTCATAACAAAGTAGATGGAAAACTTGCCAAGCTTTATAGTGCTTCACTAAGAAACAACGAAGAAAACCATTATAGTATGTTCTTGAAGATTTTAAGAAATTCCAAGGACTCTGACAACCATCGAGACGAAGCTAGGATTCTGAACAAAATACCAAAATATTTTACTTTCTTCTTTGAGTATAAAAATTATTTCGATAATACAGACTGAGGAGCTGAAGGGTCTATTCCTGAAGAGAAGTTTAATTGGTAAGTCTACATGGTTTTTACAAGTTCTAGCCGACCTCTTATTTGCTCGTTGATTCCTGAAAAATTTAAACTTGACACTATTTTTGAGTATACAAAACACCAAGACAGCATCCTTTCGTTAGGCTCAAGCAATAATATGAGTATGGGAAAGAACAGTGCAGTCGAGTACACTTGTTATGTCCAGCACATCGTCGGGTACTACGGAAGACACTACATTGCCTTTGTATCGACCAATGGAGATGATTGGATTAAATATGATGATAACAAAGTCCAGGTAGATTTTTGTTCTTTCCCAATATTTCCATGAATCCATCTAATTAGTATTTAGAATATCGGAAGCTACAAAAATTTAGTAAAGTACTTTTGCACATACAAGATAATCCCATACCTGGTATTTTACAAATGAGACAAGGGCTGTGGGTCTGAATGCTCAGATAAAGAAGATTTCAAGAGCTGCTGTTCAACAGAATTCTTGAAGGCAAACAAACGTTCCTCCAATTTCTTAGCTAATGAGAGTACTTATCAGTTCATCTCTGAGCAAGATAGGAAGATGTCAAATTTTGCTACAGTTCCAAAAGAGAAAAAGGATGATACAAGTTATTATGAAGAGGATCTTGATACTATGGAGCAAGGCGGCCTAAGTTATGCTGGTTATGAGAAATTAGAGGAGTACAAGCTCAGGGATACTAGCAAGTCCTCCAATATCCCAGAGAAGTACAAAGCCCAGAAACTAGTTATGAGTCCAGAATCAGAGATAATTCAAACTTCTTGAGGAATTAAGAGGGTTTATGCTAAGTCTCTTCCGAAGCAGATAGATAAGAACTGATCAAGGCAAGAGAATTATATCAAGTAATTCACTGCTTTATTCATCTCCTTATAGGATCAATAAGATGAGAGGATCATCTAGGTTCTATCAAGATTTTGATAAAGACTCTTATATTGAGCCTGAATCTAAGTGGGCTGAACATCGACTTCATCGGCAAGAATCAGATTTAATGCTGCCATTTAGTATTACGATTCTCTAATTTATAGAAGGAATAACCCATACTGCAGAAAAGGGTCAAAGGAAGCTTAAAATGTCAGAAAATAAATCTGAGCATTCGGATATGAGTAAGCTATCATTCCTTATCTTGTAGATGAAATGTACCATAGTCTTTCTGAGTAAGGTTATCGTTTATTCAAAAAATTCTTCTACTATTCTCATCTAATTCTTTGCAGCTTGAAGAAAACTCCAAAGGAAAGCCTTTACAAGTCCAGTTTTTCTTTAACAATTAGTAAATCTCGGAGGTCACATATGAAATCTTTGACTCATAGTGATGAATTAGGATGAGGAAGATGCAATATATTCTAATTCTTTACCAACAGTTATATTGGAATCAATATTTTTCAGATCCCCGGGGTTTTGGGGTTTTGGGGTTTTGGGGTTTTGGGG